GGAGGGGGGAGGGAGGGGGAAGAGGGAGGGGGAAGGGGGAGGGGGAGAGGGAGGGAGTCACACAATCTGAAGCAGGCTCCAGGCTCTGAACTGTTAGCACAGAGCCTGTCGTGGGGCTCGAACTCATGAACCACAAGATCATGACCTGAGCTGAAGTTGGATGCTTAACCGACTGAGCTACCCAGGCACCTGCAGATCTTGGTTTCTAATAACACACTCCAATAAAGGGAACCAGGGATCTTTGCAGAAATGGCTGGTTCTAGAATTGGGGCAAGAAATACACAAGATGAACCTGGAGCACCTCAGAGTGCCAGAAGCTACGAAAGTGCTACAAAATGAAACAAAATAAACAAACAAAACCCAAAATTTAAAACAGCCCACCACCACAATGACAGGGGGATGTCAACGAGATGTAGGAACCAACTAAGAGAGCTCTTAATAGCCAAAAATGGAACAATGTGAGCATCAAAATCAATAAAAATAGTACTGGGTTACAATCCAGTATAAAAGAAATACCCTTGAGTCCACAGTGATATAAATAAATGGAGGACAAGAGACCAATCTCCCTTGCAGAATTCTACAGTTTATATAGATACTACGCCCTCAAGAAGATAGAGCATAACCTCCACTTCTCAAGTGTGGGCTGTACATAATGGTTTCCTTCCAAACAGGACAGTATGAAAAAGGGAATGGGGAAAGAGAGTAATTTTACAGTGGAGAAAATCTGACAAACACTACTTCCACTATCAATCAAGGTCAACATCAACAGTCATAAATCATGTTCACAGTACATACTACTGACATGATGTGATGAGAATGGCACTTTTACCCCTGTGATCTTTCTCCCTAAAACCCATAGCGCCAGTCTAATCATGAGAAAAACATTAGACCAATTCCAAAAGAGAAACATCCTACGATATACATGACCAGTACTCTTCATAACTGTGAAGGTCATCAAAAACATGAAAACGTGAGAAACTGTCACAAATAAGGGAACCTAAAGAGACATCATGATTTTAGTTAGTAACAATGTATCAGTATTAGTACAAATATTATAACAAATGTCAATTCCAAAAGAGAAACATCCTACAATAAGTGACCTGTACTCCTCAAATCTGTCAAGGTCATCAAAAACATGAAAATGTGAGAAATTGTCACAAATAAGGGAACCTAAAAAGACATCATGATTTCAGTTAATAATAATGTACCAATACTGCTTCAAATATTATAACAAATGTATCATAGTCATCTAATGTTAATGATAGCAAAACTATTGGGCTTGGGCGGGAGAAGCGGAGAGAAGAATACATGGGAACTCTATACTATCTTCTTAATTTTTTGGTAGATCTAAAACTTCTAAACCATTAAGCCTAGGTGCACCTGGGTGCCTCAGTTGGTTGGGCGTCTGACTCTTGATTTTGGCTCAGGTCATGATCTCCTGGTTCGTGGGATCGAGCCCAGCTTTGGGCTCTGTGCAGAGCCTGCTTGGGATTCTCTCCCTCCCACTGCCCCCTCCCCTTCTGGCATGCATGCATATGTGCTCTCTCTCTAAATAAGTAAATAAACATTAAAAAAAAAAACCAAGCCTACAAATAAAAAAAAAAAAAACTTAAGGCATTCACATTTTTTTAAAAAAAGGAAAAAGAGGGGTGCCTGGGTGGCTCCCCAATTGAGTGTCTGCAGCTCAGGTCATGATCTCAAGGTTCATGAATTCGAGCCCCACGTTGGGCTCTGTGCTCACAGCTCAGAGACTGGAGGATGCTTCGAATTCTGTGTCTCCCTCTCTCTCTGCCCCTCCCATGCTCGTGCTCTCTCTTTCAAAACATAAATAAACATTAAAAAAATAATTTTTAAGGGGCACCTGGGTAGCTCAGTCAGTTAAGCATCCAATTTCGGCTCAGGTCATCATCTCACAGTTTGTGAGTTCAAGCCCCATGTCGGGCTCTGTGCTGACGGCCTGGAGCCTGCTTCAGATTCTGTGTCTCCCTTTCTCTGCCTCTCTCCCTCAAAGGTAAATAAACATTAAAAAACAATTTTTATGTAATTTTTTAAAAATAATAAATAAGGAAAAAGAAAAATGAGTGATCAGACCACAGAAAGTCACAGATGAATCTTAAATTTAAATACGTAGTGTTATGTGTGAGAAGCCACTCTGAAATACTGTAGGATTCCAATTCCATGACATTCTAGAAAAGGCAAAACTAGATCTGTAAACAGATCAAAGACAAAAACAAGGAAACTCAGAGAAACTGTCAGAGCCAAGAGGAGCCAAGACAACTAAATGTAGTATGGTGTCCTGGACCAGATAAGATCATAAGGGAAAGACTGAGGTCATTTAAATAAAGTACAGTCTTTTTTTTTTTTTTTCAACGTTTTATTTATTTTTGGGACAGAGAGAGACAGAGCATGAACGGGCGAGGGGCAGAGAGAGAGGGAGACACAGAATCGGAAACAGGCTCCAGGCTCTGAGCCATCAGCCCAGAGCCTGACGCAGGGCTCGAACTCCCGGACCGCGAGATCGTGACCTGGCTGAAGTCGGACGCTTAACCGACTGTGCCACCCAGGCGCCCCAAGTACAGTCTTTAGTTAATTATCAATATTGCCTTTTGATTGTGACAAATGTTCTATGCTGACATGCTAATCAGAGTGGGGAACATGGAAATTCTCTAATTTCAGTAATTCTGCCAATCTAAAACTATTCTAAAATTAAAAGTTTACTTAAAAAAACAAAACAAAAAAACCCTCCATTGGAGGGTGTGTTGGTGTTAGGGTGTGCATTTCCTAAAATGAGGCAGGGGCACTTTCTGCTTATAGGAAGTGAAACCTGAATAGAAGATAGCAAAATCCCCAGAAGATGACTGTTTATGAGAGAGAATGAGAATGTCAGCGTGTGCTGGAAAACATACTGCCACCTTCTGAGCACCTACTAGGCACCAGGCTCAGTGTTAGGCACTTACTGTATAGGCTGAGCTACCAGCCCAGATTACTTGGGTAATCTACCCTAGGTCCCACAGCCAGTAAGTAGTACAGCCAGGCCCGCACTTTAAGTCTCTGAACACAGCTGTCTATAACTGCTGAGTTTCAGAAGAGGATCCATGTGGGTGCCAAGATACCCATACCAAGCCTTGGTTCACAGTTCTCAGATGTGCCTCCATATCACAAAATGTCAACCATCAACAGGCATGAAAGATGGGTAAGCCAGCTGGGACAGGCAAATGGAGACCACAGACTGAGCCCTGAGATCCCCTCGAGTTAACTCCCTATTTTTATAAAGGTGAGACCGCAGGGGCAACTCAGAGGGGACAGGACATTTTTGTGGACTAGGGCATAACTGAGACCCCAACAGAGGTTTTTGGCCTCTGTATCTAGCAGTCATCCTGAGCAGGGGGACCCACTTACCCCCGGTTTGAATGATGGCAGGCCTAGCCCCACACCAATGGTGGCCTTGTTGGGATTCACCACTGAATTGTAGTGGATATTCCGATGGTAGCTGACGCGGATGGGTTCATCCTCATTTTGATGGATCCCATGGAAGGTGTTGATGGGTTCTGCAGAGAAAGAGAAGGAAGGAGCATCCACAATGGGCCAGGCAGGGCAGGCTTGGACCAGGTGCAGTCGGTCGCTCACCTACCCACCACAGAAGTACCTGTGCTGTACTGATACACCTCCACGGGCCGGTTGTACATCTCTGCCATGGCCTGCATCTCAATGTGGTTGCCATGGCAGTTGTTTTTCCGCTTCCTGTTGATGTAGGTGGTGAAGTCCTCTGTGACATAGTTGGAGAAGTAGTCCGCATTCTTCATCTGCAGAACAGATTGGAGAGTCAAGGTCTGCAGGGGGAGGAGATGCACCCATACTGCCCCCACCCCAAGGCCTCCACAGGGTCTCACCAGGTAGTCCATGCAATGCTTTCGTACAACCTCATGCATGTCCTGGTCTCCATATACCTGGTCAGCTGTGGGAAGAGGAGAAAGGAGAGGCTGGGGTTAAGAGCTGCCACCAGAAGAGTTTGGAGTCATGGAACATCCTTGGCGGTGGAGGGCTGGGGGCCAGAAAAACTCCTTTTCCTACACTAAAGGCCTGGAGAGTGCTAGGCTTTGTGGGCTGGAATGGGGTCATGGAAAAAGAGGCAGGCAGGGACAGTCTTTAGGAACAAGAGTATACGCGAGAGGAACACAACCACAGTCCTCTCAGGCAGATGAATTTGTCCAGGGCTTGCCAAGCCACTCAGACAAGTCAATAAACATTTTAAGTCCCCTAAGTGGTCTTGAGCACCAGCAATTCCACACTCCCCCTTCACTCTTCACATGAGGAAGCCAAGGTTCAGGGAGAGTTTGTGGCTTCATCAAGGTCACACAGCAAGTGAGTCTGACGGATTCAACTCTAGAATCCAGTTTTCTGACTCCTGGGAGCCAGCATGGCCTCTGTAGGTTAAAAAAATGAAAAAAGAAGAGACAAGAAAAACAACTGGGCTCCAAGCCTAGTTCTGCCAGGTCCTAGTGAGCTAAGCGACTAGAAGAAAGCAACCCAAGTGTTCCGAGCCTCATGTGCCTCACACACAAAACAGGAACAAGTAGGATGATTCCCTAGCAGGCCTCTTGTGGGATCAATGAGATAAAGGGTATAAGGTGACTAGCACTGGGCTTGGGACAGACCAGCCACTCAGCAAATCAAGAGTTCCCTACCCATAGTGGGGCCTGAATGTGGGGTACTGTGAAGGTGAGAGAGGTGAGTAAAATCCTGCCCCTGCCTGCAAGAAGCACGTAATCTAAGCAAGAGAAATAAGACACATATGAACATAACTTAAACTTAATTCAGGAAAGGCAGCCTATGGCCCAAATGGTCTAGGCATCATGGGGTTTTGGTCAAAATAAGAACCAGGCTCCTCCTGCCTCACTCTGAGGATCTTCACACATGCCATTTCCTCTTTTCAGGGCATTCTTTCCATTCTCCTCGGCTGCCTACCTGTCAAATACCCATGTGTTCTTTATACAGTTCCCCATCTCTCCCACCCTCCAAAGCACTTCTATCACCAGATTTATCAAAGATGTATGCAGACTTCCTCTGCCTGAGCACTCGGACTTCCACTGAGGGCTGAGAGCAGTTCACATCCAAGTCCACCCCAGCTCAGAGGCCAATACAGTACAGGAAATCGGGAAGAGCTTGCTGACTGGATGGATAGGCTGGGGTGGGGGGAGGCTGGGAGTCTTGTCCCTGGGAAATTAAAGTGGGCTTGAAGACGAGGCCCACCTGGTGTCCACTGGCTAAGACAAAGAGGGAATTTCCCTTTGTCTCCCCAAAGGACCAGGACCACTGCTCTGATGGGATCACCCGGGGCACTGGGGCAGGGTCAAGTCCCTCAGGGGACACCACAGAGTTCTTCCATGAGAGCCAGTCTGCCTTGGAAGAATCACCGGAAGAACGCCTTTGCCGCCCTCCCCCTTCCCTCCCTGGAGGATTCTGTGAGATAAGGAGAAAAATGCTACTTCTGAGATAGAAAACGGGGCCAATGCCTGTCTCATGTCCTCTTCGGAGGTGCAGAGGACTGAGGGGGAGGGGAGCTGTGAAGGCGGGAAGGGGTAGCCCCTTCACCGATGTAAACAAGGATGTGGGTTCTGCGGCCACACTCTTCCCCACCCCCCAGCAGCACTTCCAGCAAGTCACGTGCCCTGCGCACAGGCTGGGGGCCCCCTGCTGCCGCCTTTCTTAGAAGCCAGGACCACAGAGCCCTCTGTGGCTGCGAGAGCTATTTATGTAGAATGAGCCTGGGGTGCTGAGGAGGCAGTGCTGCCAGCAGCTGCAGTAAACAGGAACTGAGATGGCGGCAAAGGGGTTAAATAGGGGCCGGGCTGCGAAGCTCAAGGAGGTGGCTGAGATGTTCCTAGGGAAGGATCAACAGGCATTTGCAGGCCTGGGAGATGGATCTACCTGAGCTAGATGCCAGATGCAAGAAAATGGAGGAAAGGGGAGACTGGGACAGGGAAGGGAACTGAGGGAACCTCATGAAGGTCCCCCTGCTCCATTCCCCTGCCACTGTCTCCTTTGCCTTAGCAGAAAGGCTCTGCTGCCTCCTAGCTGTGTGGCACTGGACAAGACCATCAAGCTCTCTGGGCCACAATGTCTTCTTCCGAAGTGGGGAGAGTAACTCCTCTTCCTTTCACAGGGAGCTGTCAAGACTAGGGGTAGGGTTTGCTGAACACCTAAGGTGTACTAGGTGTTCAAGAAATGGGGTTCCATTTATTACGAGTAGACGCTGACTCTTTCAGATGGCCAACCACTCACAAGTCAGTCAGAATGTCACTGGAACCACTTATTTAAGCCCTTCCTCATTTCTGTCACTTCCTCAGCCAGAGGAATGCCCCAAACTTAGGAGTCTAGGCTGTCCCTCCTCATACAGGCAGGACTGGGTCTCAACCTTTACTGAATTCAAAGGTCCACAGGTCTACCTTCTGTATCCATAGTTCAAATCTTTAGCAACCAAATTAACATCAAATCAATAATACAAGCTTCACAAACCAGGGCCCTTAAGTGTGGGCAAGGTATAACTTTACCTTCCTACCTACCTCCCTGTAAAATATCCCCTTCTCTCTTCAATTCTAAGATGCACTGGTAGGTGGTACCACACATGCGTTTAAATCGCAGCTTTTGTTAGGGGTGGTAGTGGCACGGCACGACCCACCTACCTGATTATAAGATATACCCCAGTTTGGGGAATCATACACATGGAAGAAAATATGTTATCTGAACCAGCAAAACGGAACAATAATACCTCCCCAAAGAGGGAGAGGAGAAGGGTCTTTACAGTGATCTAAGGCAGGGAAAAGCATCCAGGGCAGGGCAGAAACACAGGCAGCCCTCACTGAGGCGGTGCTTGCCTGACTTTGCTAGCTCCACCTCTGTCCTCCAGAAAGCCCTCCTCCTCCGAGAGGGTAGCCATATGGGACCAGGGGCTAGGCTGGGCTGGATTTCCCTGTGGGGGCCAAGGTGGGGGAAAGGGCCAATGGACCTGCAGAGGTAGGGGAATTCAGAGAACTTGTTTTGATAGAAACTGAAACTCCTCTTCTTGCTGACGCTGCACTTGTGGGCAACGTGCACCTGCTCTCCCTTCCCAGAGTCCAGCTGAAGGGGGTCCCCACTACCTCACCTCTGTCCCCAACCCAAAGAACGCTCAGAAATCCTCAGGACAGTACTACAATTGGTTCCACTAAGGTCTTTTCACATTCCAACTTCTTCCATCTTCACCCCAAAAAAGCCCTACTTCACACAGGAGGGATACTGAGGTACAAAAATACAGCACAGCTGGCCCAAGGCCACACATCTGGGAGGGTGAAGGTGAGGCCAAGCTCTCAAGAAATCACCAGTGACTTCAAACACTCATGCTCCAGGTGATGTTACCACCATTCCCAATCCACCTATCACCTTAGCCACCTGACTGCCTAGGCAAGGCCTGATTCTGTCTGCCTCAGTTTCTCCACCAGCACAAACAGGAATCAGCTGGAACCCAGGAAAGGCCTGGGAGTGAGCAGAGATTACAGAGAGGTCAGTATCCCACACCGGTCCTTTCTCTGAGCATGCTGAGACACCAGCACAAAAATGCATGTGCACACACACACACACACACACAGCCAGCAGATCCTGCCAAAGACATTCCCTGAGGCCAAATACCCATACCACCCTGACAACTACAGAGACCTATTGTATTCCACAAGTAGTTGCCCTTGCTGCTAACCAAGAAAGACTAAAGGTTGCACATGAGGCAAGGCTGTACAAACTGAGGACCCCCACCTCCTTCCTACCCTTTGCCAGGGGCTTAATGGGAGGGAGGAATAGCTAATAGCTCTAACAGACTTGCCTCAACCTCCTTCCCCTATTGCCTGAGGGAAGGTCCCCCAAACCTCTGTAATCCTTCCTCCTTAGTCTCCCTAAAATAAAGTCACTATTTGCCAAAGAGTTATGTGCAGAAGCAAGACAGGAGAGCCTGGATAATCTAAAGGAGTTTAATAAAGTACAGGGCTCTACCATTTGTTTTAGAGGCACCTGGGACCTGCCTCCCCACCAGGCTGCTGCCTGCCTGCCTGCTAGAAGAGCCACAGCAAGTTCTGCTGAGGACAGAAAAGGAAGCTTGGTGTCTGCAGGGAATCTAAAAACCAACCACACAAATGTGTGTACACACAGCAGCAGGGGGAGACAGGAACCTGATCTGTTCCCCACTTGCCTCCTGGCCCACTGTGAATGCCAGCCCCACCAAGAAGATGAGCCAGAAAAAAAGGCCTCACCTGCCTATCAAGCAGCTGTTGTGTGCACCTGGCCCATGGCCCCAAATGGCACACCCTCAGTGGGGGAGACATCCTCAATTAGGGGGAGACAAAACTCAGTCCTCTTAACAGCCTGTCTCTGAGATGCTTGCTCCTCTACTTAAGGATTCCCATGGCAAAGATGGGAAAACTGAAGGAGGCAGGGCAGAAAGAGCCCAGTGGAAACTGGTATCATGGTGGCCCATGGGAATTTTCTCCTCTGGCCTAGTTCAACCTCAAACACCATGTTCTGACACTGGCTATGTGACCTAGATAATAACGTCCTGGCTTTCTCATAAGGCCTCAGTTTTCCCATTAACAAAACAGTCAAAATTAATCAAAGATACATCCCTCCAATGCTGATGGTCCAGGCTAATGTTTCTGGGCCCCACCATTGCAACATGTACAACTCCAGCTGTTTCCTCATGGCCCATGCAGACAGATGTACGTGTGGCCTCCACTTTGCCCACAGAGGCCAGGGCCAGAGGTTTTTGCTGAGTCAAAGCCATGTGGGGAGAGGGAAGAAGGAGAGAGGCAGACTCATGTTTCCAGGAGGAGGTTATCTGAACATAGCAGGGGCAGGGTGGGCCACCAGACACCTCAGGAACTCAGACTTGTACTTCTACTCCACCCAAGCCTTCACTGATGCTCGCAAGTCCCCAACAGGGGGTAGTGGGAGAGAGCAGTGAATACTGGTTTACAGTACGGACACCTGGACTGCAGAGGTAAAACAGAGGGTAGAGAAGCAAAGCTGAGAAGGCAGGGCTTTCCCAGGGTCATAGAAAGAATGTGTCCTTGGGATACCTCTGGGTCCCCATGCCAGCTCTACCACTAATGACCCTTTCCTGAGCCTCAACCTTCTCACCTGTCTCATGTGATAATGATCCCAATTTTGCAGGTGAATCTGAAGCACCAAGCTGAGTGCCAGCGAACAAAACAGTCAGGGTCAATAAACAACAGAGTGGTCTCTGTGTGTGCAATCCCCCTCCAACTCCAACCTTCAGTGATGTGCTCCTTCCACTGTTCAATGCATAGCAGGAAGTCAGAAGCTATAGGCCTTCTCACCAGAGCTCAGGGCAACTACCACCTGTCCCTGTACAAGCCAGGCTGGAAGCAGAGGGGCAGCAGAAAGCTGGAGGACAAAGTCCCTTTCTCGGGCACATGTCCTGTGCACTCTGCTACAGGGAAACTTCCAGATGAGGCCTGGAGACCCAGAGGCCATGTACTTCTAGAGAAGAGGCCATGGGGCTTCTGAGGTTTTACAGAGAAAAGCCAAGGGCAGCTCAGTTGGGGGAAATGGGTAGCCATAGTGCTGATAGGGAAAGGCCTTCAACCTGCCACGGTCAGCTCTTCCTATAAGCTCAGGCCCTTTACTGGAAGGCCTGGGGTGGGGGCAGGGGGAGTGTGGTGTGGTGTCAGAGGGTGTTTGGGGAGGTCAGCTAGATGGACATACGTGAAAATGTTGCTGTTGATATGGGTTACTACATAAACCAGGTCATTACTAGCCCCAAGATCTGCCTCAAAGACTGCCTGAGACCAAGTATACCCGGCTACATTCTCTTACATTCACTCCACTAGTAGCCCTGTTTATCCCACATCTCGCCTGAGGTTTCAGCACAGGGCCTAGCACCTAAAAGGCCCCCACCTATTCTTTCTTTGCCTTCCTTGGTCCAAGATGCCCCCAAACCCAGCACTTTCTCTAGGAAACATTCCAGGAGAACACAGACTTGAGCCACAGGGGGAGGAGGACTGGGATTTTCCCAGGCCAGCACAGACCACTGCCTGGACCTCTTCCCCTTGGTAGAACTGGCAGGCAAGCACTCACCCCATGTAAACTTCTTCTACCCATTCAACAAACATTTGTGGCTCTGAGACACCACCAAAAACAGCATTCAGGCTTTACCAATGCTACTGTTCCGAGGGCCTACTGTCAGGCACTAAAGGGATTTACTGAAGTAATCTCGTTTATCCGTTGTAACACTGGGTCTCTCAGCCTCCTGTTACAGCCTTGGAAGTAGGCTCAAGCAAAAAGAACTGGTTGCCCAAGTTCACACCAAGAATCAGTGGCACAGCTAAAAGTGGAGCCTGAGTCAGTCCAGCCCACCAGTACTCATGGGGGCTAGCCACAGAGAGGATAGCAGACCTTGTAGGGATTCAAGGAGTCCTTCAGAATCAGTACCATTTAACAGATGGGGAAATATAAGTTTTTGAATCAGGGCCAGAACTAGAAGATAGCGCTTCTGACTTCTAGCTGAAAGCTGCTATCAAAGAGCCCTTCTTCCTGGTAGATTATCAGAGCCCCAATGGAAGGGTCAGATCACATTCCCCAATTTCCCCGGACACTAGCACAGGGCCTTACAACTGCCTATTGAGTCACAGGTTCAGAGCCAGAGGGAGCTCAAAGATACTGCTCAGACTGGACAATTGATGGCATTAAGGAATTATGAATGTTGTTAGGTAGGATAATAACACTTTGGTTATGTTAGGAAAAAACAGAAAGAAAGAACCCTTATCTGCCAGAGAAACATACTTAAGTATTTAACATATGAAATGATCCAATGTTGGGGTTTTGATTTAAAAATACTCTTGCTTCAGGACAGTGAAAAAAAAGTGGGCAAGATAGTGATAAAACAAGGCTGGCCATGTGTTGATGACTATTTTGAAGATGAATGATGGGTACATGAGAATTCACTATTCTACTTCTGTGTAAGTTTAAAAAAATTCCATGGTCCCAGGGTGACAGCAGTGTGCTGTGGTTAAGAGCATGGGCCTCAGACTAACCTGACCCAGAGACCCCTGACTCTACTATGTACTACCTGATCCTGGGCAGGTCACTCCCCTGCTCTAAGCTGCTTTTCTCATCTGACAAATGGAAACCACGACAGTCCCTACACTTACCTAGCCTGGGGGAGAATTAAAAAGGGTTTCTTTTAGTGGCTGACAGTGCAATCTGTCACCAAGTATTGTTATTTTCTTTATCACTATTACTGTTGTTATTACTTCCGTGCCACCACACTGCCTCATGACCAAAGGCTAGAGGCCAGATACTAATTTGAAGCTGGGGCCTGGAGTCCTGAAAAGACCAGTAAACTCTACCCTCAACCCTATCTTAGGGATTACTCCTAAAAATTAGAAGTAGCTCAGGGGCATTTCTAGGCCCTTGAAGGCTGAGGCAGAGACTCACCTACAGCCCGGAAGAGACAGGCGCCGTCCTCCTTCATCTGCTTGATGATGAAGCCCTTCTTGTCCCTCAGGGCCTTTTCAAACCAGTGCTCCTGCTGGAGGGAAGAGGTGGGGGTCAGCAACAGGAAAGACCTGTACCCCCTCCCCATGGCCCTGCCCTCCAATTCCCGAAGGGCCTAGCTAAATGGCAGGGTCAAACTCCCAGCCCTGTTTGACACTCTATGCATGCAAAGGAAGAGGAGACCCTTTCTTTTAGGGAACTGGTCATTGTGTAAGCAGAAGACTTGCTCCCAGAAGGGCCTCATCTGCTTTCTGACGGACCCCTGCTGACCATGTTGGGAATCCAATGCTTGGCCTTCCCATAGGCAGCCGGAGGCCCTGACCCAGCAAGTACCTGGAGGTAGGGGGCAGCAGAGAACCTGGCTTTACCTCAAGGAGTTTCACCTGGGGATCCTCTAGTCACTTAGGGTAGGGATGATATGGAGGAGGGAGTAAATGGCAAGAGCCTAGATCCCATTTTGCCTTTGTATAAGGCAAAATACATGCAAGGTATGATTTCACTTACAATTGAACAAATTTAACATACATACATGTGACTATACATATAAGTATACAAACATGTAAAAGTTGGGAAGACCATCCAACAAAATACCCCTAAAAGTTGGCATTACAGGTGATTTTGACTGTCTTCAAGAAAAGTATGCAATCCCTTGTCCAAAATTCCAAAACTCAAAAAGCTTTGAAAACCAGAAGTCTTCCTCTAATTCATCTGCCATCATAACCTGACCTGAGCTGGCGAGAATGTATTTATCCCCCACTTGGAGGTAAATATTCAAACATTGCCATGCAGAAACATTCAGGTGTCCATGAGGTACTGCCACAGACTCCACCAGAAGTGTTACCAAACACACAGTATATACATCAGGTGATTTTTCTAAATTCTGAAATTTCTCTAAATTCCAAAGCACATCTGACCCCAAAGGTTCAGGTTTAGTGTGCCTAGACAAATGTGTATTTTCAGACTTAAAAAATAATAATGGATGAGCACCTGGGTGGCTCAGTTGGTTAAACACCTGACTCTTGGTTTTGGCTCAGGTCATGATCTCAGTTTGTGGAATCGAGCCCTGTGCTTACAGCATGGAGCCTGCTTGGGATTCTATCTCCCTCTCTCTCTGCCCCTCCCCTGTTCACTCTCTGTGTCTCAAATAAATAAACTTAACCCTCTGTTTGTCCCTCTCCCTGTTTTTATATTATTTTTGCTTCCCTTCCCTTATATTCATCTATTTTGCATCTTAAAGTCCTCATATGGGTAAGGGGCATTAAGGAATCTACTCCTGAAATCGTTGTTGCACTATATGCTAACTTAGATGTAAATTTAAAAAATAAATAAAAATTAAAAAAAAATAAACTTAAAAAACAAATCTCTCTCTCCTTCTGCCCCTCTCCCTTGCTCACCTAAGCACACCCTCTCTAAAAAAAAAAAAAGTAGATGAATAGGCAGAAAAGAGGGTATTTAGGGCAGTGAAACTACTCTGTATGGTACTTTATAAGTGGGTATGTGTCAGGGCACCTGGGTGGCTCAGTCGGTTAAGCATCTGACTTTGGCCCAGGTCATAATCTCATGGTTCATGAGTTCAAGGCCTGCAACAGGCTCCATGACAACAGTGTGGAGCCTGCTTGGGATTATTTCTCTCTCCCTCTCTCTCTGCCCCTCCCTGGCTCATGCTTTCTCTCCCTCTCAAATAAAATATAACTTAAAAAAAAGTGGTTATGTATCATTATTCATTTGTCCAAATCCATAGAATGTACACCAAGGGTGAAACCTAATGTAAACTGTGGACTTTGGGTGTTTATGATGTGTCCTACATGGACACTGATTGTAACAAATGCACCACTCTGGTGGGGGATGTTAATAATGGGGGAGGCTATGCACGTGTGAGGGCAGGGGATATATGGGAACTGCCTGTTCAATATGAGAACTCTTTTGTTCAGTTTTTTTTTAATTTTTTTTCAATGTTTATTTATTTTGAGAGACAGACAGAGAGACAGAGAATGAGCAGGGGAGAGGCAGAAAGGGAGACACAGAATCTGAAGCAGACTCCAGGCTCTGAGCTGTCAGCACAGAGCCCAACACGGGGCTCGAACTCACGAACCGTGAGATCATGACCTGAGCCGAAGTTAGACAATTAACCCCCTTTTGTTCAGTTTTTCTGTGAACCTGAAAGTGCTCTAAAATATTAAGTCTATTAAAAAAATAGGGGGGCCTGGTGGCTTAGTCGGTTAAGCGTCCGACTTTGGCTCAGGTCATGATCTTGCAGTCCATGAATTCAAGCCCCACGTCAGGCTCTGTGCTGACGGCTCAGAGCCTGGAGCCTGCTTCAAATTCTGTGCCTCCCTTTCTCTCTCTGCCCCTCCCCCACTCATGCTTTGTCTCTCTTGCAAGAATAAACAAACATTAAAAAAAATAAAAAATAATAATGTCCACGGGTCACTTAGAACATATTTTCCATTTCAAAACAAAACTAGAAGCAGCAGACCTTTCCCAGGCCTCTTACACCCTCTGGTGGCCACCAGAAGAAACCAGCCTTACCTATCATCCAGGCTAGGGACCAGAAGTACCAAGCCTGCTCCTTTGGGACACCACCCTGACCAGGGATTTATAGTATATGGCTAATGATCACTAGACAGAGGGGATCACTACTCTACAGGACACTTTTCCTCAGCTCAAGTGAGCAAAATTCCCGGCAGAGTAGGAAGTATGAAGTCTGGAAGCCAAAAGCTCTGCATTCCAATCCCAGCTCTGCCACTCACTCGCTGCATGATTTCAGGTAAGCTACCTGAACTCACCAAGCCTCAGTTTCCTATCAAACAGGGGATATGTGATCTACCTGATGGAGCTGTCAAGAAGCTCAGAGGAGCTTCAAGACCTGAAAAGGCTTTGTAAATAACCTAAGTCACCAGTCACAGAAGAGTGGACACTGGCCCAGAGACGATGCACAACTGAGGCCCTGAGAGTACCAGGTGAGTGGCTGGACAGTAAGGGATGAAGATGGGGGTGACAAAGGAATGCCCAGCAGCCCCACCATTAGGGCCCACACCCCGGGAAGGTGTTACCGGCTTTCCAGAGATGACAAAGGTACCTGGAAGCCCTTAATGGGTTCCCATAGACAGCACAAAGACTCTTATTTGAGCACAACACTCCAACAACCAGGTGCCTGTCCACAACCAAGAGACTGTGGACTAGTACACTCCAGCCAGTTCCCCCAAGTCCATCCCTGTCCTGCAGGGACAGTCATATCCCAACACCATGGTGCCTGCTCTAGCCAGGGGTCACCAGCAGGGAAGCTACAACTATGACTCAAGGCGCAGACTGGACAGAAAGAAAAGTTCTTAAAAAGAAGGGCACACAGCAACCTCCTGCCCTCAAGTGTGTGTGGGGAGGGAGTGGGGGGAGATGAGATCAAGGTGATCAAAGAGGATAAGAGGGGCCCCTACTTATTCATCCAACAAAAGTTTACCAGGCAGCTGCTAAGTCAGACCCTGTCTGTATTAAGGCTGGCAATGAGGACAGAGAAATGAATCAGACTTGGTCTCTACCTTCGATAAATTCACAAATTGCTAGGGGGGTGGGGAAACAGGGAATGACCACACACAGTGTGAGCAGGGCAGTGGAAGAATTGAACACACAGTGCTATGAAACACAGAGGAAGGGACCTGGCCAGTCATTAAGGCTGGCACTTGAATAGAGGTGCCAGCTGACCAAAGGATCAAAACATAAAGACCTCCAGAAATGCTTGTTAACTGGATAAGAAATCACTTCTGGGGACACCTGGCTGGCTCTGTTGGAGAAGAATGTGACTCTTGGGTCTTGGGATTGTGAGTCTGAGCCCCATGTTGCGTGTTGAGATTACTTAAACTAATTTAAAAAAATCACTTCTGCCACAGAACACTAGGGATGCCAAAGGCCCAGCAATGACTCCAGCACAGCTCAAGTCCTGGGTAGGACTATGCAGGTAAGCAGAGCAGGGCCAGGAAGAAAGATGAACTCATATTAGCCAAATGCCTGCCCCTCACCAGGTGCCTGATGCAAAAGTTAACTTCACTAAATTGTTCTTATCACAGTCCAGCTGCCAGTAAGCATTAACCTTATTTGACAGAGGCAAAAGAGCTAGGGTTTGGGCACCAGCAAAGGCTAGTATAGAGGTAACAGGGGAGGCCTCATGAGCCACAGTGTAGAGACATACCTGGCAGCCTATCCTAGGAAAATCCTGGTTTGTCCCTAAAATTGAAGGAGGCCTGAATCTGGAGGCCAGACCACTACCTACCCATTGGCTTTAGCATCAGCAGCCTTAAGAGCTTAGGCTCTGGCTGAAACCGTGCCTTTCCCTTTGGGGAGAGAAAATAGGACATCATTGTCCTGGGCTCCAGAAAGAGATGAAGAGTCCCAGGAGCCTCTAGCATAGTCTCCTCCTTCCCACAGCTGGACAGGAGCCTCTGAGAAAGATGCCAACTTGGGAACTGTTTAGGAAAGTGGCCCAGGAAAAAAATGCTGGTGGGGGAGAGGGGCGGGGGCTAGTCCTGCCATTGGTAAGTTTAAGTTACAATGCTCTAGCCTGAGAAAGTCAAGTCCAGACCATGAATCTTACAAGGCCACTGCTGAGCCTGTCGGTGAGTCCCTCCCACATCTCTGAGCCTCCATAAGGGGACTGGACAAAGTTCTCTGACATCAGGGGATCCCAGGAGCAAGACTCTGCAACCTATTGGTCCAAAGGCCCAAAAGAAGTTAAAGCAGGGGCGCCTGGGTGGCTCAGTCAGTTAAGCGTCCGACTTCGGCTCAGGTCATGATCTCACAGTTTCTGAGTTCGAGCCCCACATCGGGCTCTGTGCTGACAGCTTAGAGCCTGGAGCCTGCTTCAAATTCTATGGCTCCCTCTCTCTCTGCTCCTCCCCCTCTCATGCTCTCTCTCTCCTTCAAAAATAAATAAAAACATTAAAAAAATTTAAAAAAAAAAGTTGAAGCAGACTGTGGGACCCAAGTAATTTAGGTTCCAATCCAGCTCCACCAATTACTAGCCATGTGATGAACCACTCTAAA